AGGGGGGGGGGGGGAGCTGCGTTTATTTGGTTAACTATGACATCCTGAGGTCAGTTAATCTATCTCATCATGGATATTTTTTAAACGAAACATTCTCTGATTCCTCTCGTTAAACAGGTTAGCTGTTGGCGGTTTGCAAACCCGACTACACCACGGGAGGTTTGCCGCTTGAAAGTCAGTAGTAGATCTTTCCTAACAGCAGCTGTGAGAAGAGTCCGGGAAGATTAAATACGCTTACCAAAACAACCATCCGTAATTGTACTATGGAGTTCTAGGGATCATCGATCTATCTGTGATGTTCTCAATCCAGTTACACTCTAGGTTTGCTCTGCTCATTCTGTATCCGAATGCTGTGGGTTTTTGCAATGTGCTGCTCCATGGTATATTAACTTTTTTTTCAACCTTGCAATGAATTGCACAACTCAGTCAGGGATGTTTTTTTCTCTCGCAAACTCATTTCTATAGGCTCTTTCATAGATCGCTTTTGTTCATCGCTCTCCCAGCATTGTTGCATTGTCCGTTTTGGATCGGTGCTTGTTCATTGGCATATTTCAGTATCCGATCTCCCCAGCTCTCGTCGATGGTTTTGGTTAGCACGTAACAAATGCACAACCATCATACAGAAGGCTTAGGAGCACTTTGTTGAGCGCAAAGCAGTACAGTTGGTAACCGCTCTTTCTGGCCACTCACTTGTCTTCCACTAAGTTTCCACCCATTATTAAACTATCCTCGTGACTTAGTATGCGACCCGTTGCAAACAGCAGAAATGTTTACTTCCCAGTTCGCTTCCAGTTCTGCCCTACTCGAATTATTCATCCAACCCTACGGCAAACCATCTTTTCACACCGCTCATTTCCACCAGAAAGGTACGTCAGATCCTCTCATCGCTGGGCCCACACAAGCCATCTAGACCCGACGGGATTCCTCCCTATGTCCTCAAAATGTGCGCCCCAGAACTGCCTCTCCTCCTACGTCGCTTATTTTGTCCAGCTCTCAATTCCGAGATATTCCCAACCCCATGGAAACTATCAAAAGTATTTCCCATCCCCAAATGCGGCGACCACCGTGACCCAAACAAATACCGCTCCATCTGTTTCACACCAGTCTTTTAGAAGGTTATGGAATCAATTGTTGCCGATGAACTCCGCCACCACCTGGAGTAGAACAATATTCTTAGCGACCGCCAGTACAGTTTCCGATCACCTGGATCTACCGGTGATCTTCTGGCGCTCATTTCGCATGCATTGTCAGCGGCACTCGACAACTACTGAGAAACCCCATGCGGTGTCGTTGGATATACCGAACAGCTTTCGATCGTGTCTGGCACGCAGGTCTGCTTGCTAAACTACCCAAGTTTGGCTTTCCTTCGGAACTTGTGTCCTGGACAACAAACTTCCTCAAGGACTTCAGCACCNCACCTCCGTCAGAGTAGATGTGACTATGTCTCGTTCCGTGCCTGTAAATGCTGGTGTTCCTCAGGGTTCTGTGCTTTCCCCTTCCCTCTTTCTGATGTTTATTGATAACCTTTCTTCAACTTCAAATCCTATTCATGCCTTTGTCGATGACTGGCGACGGAAAAATTTACTGATCTACAATGTCGATCACGCCGGAGCAGTTACAAGCAATTCTCAACCAGCAACA